TCCCATAGCTTGTGAAATGTCTAGACAAACCTTTAAAGATTAAAAAAAAATCAAAACGATATGTATAAATTTTTTTTCTCGATATTTATATCTCAACTGAGAGTTAATAATGATTAATTCTCATACAGTTTTTTTTAATACATTTAAAATAAGATTATACTATTTGAACATTATGCGACATCTACAATTTCTTTCCTTTAGTAATCTTTATAAAAACTATCCTAGCGATAAACCTGTCTTCACTTAATTTCACACTAGACTGATTATCACATGGTGCACGCGATGTGTCTTACGTCTAAGAATTTCTATCTTTGCGAACAGAACATTTAATTTGTGAATAAGGAAAAGTGGGTAATTGCTTTCAAAGCGATCGTCCGTGGAACATTCGTGCTTACTCAGTTATCTTTCTACTTATTTATCATTAACTGCCTTATTTTTACTTTATTTATTATATTTACGTTCCTTTTTAGGTATTTAACATTCGCTCATGAACGTTTCGTTGTATCCATCTGTGACATGTTAAACTAATTTAAATAAAAAAACTTTATAAAACAATGTTTTGTCAAAAAATTACCATAGGTGTGTTAGTGTATTAATTTCTAATGCATATATGGTGATTTTCAAATTTCATTAAACATAGTGCTCTGTAGGTTTAAGTATCATTTTTACTTTTTGTAATTTACTTTGAAGGTTATTTTCAATTCTACAGGCAATGTAAAACAAACTGGTACCATATAACAAAATTGCAATACTTTAATTGTAAAAAACAACACACTATGACCGTTCTTAAGACCATACGATAGAAAACATCAACAAGGCGTTATTAATAATGTGGAATATAAATATATATTTTTAAGTCAAAACTTCTTTAGGCGCGTTTTGTACCTTTTTTCTGGAGAGTGAATTAAATTGAGCCGTCAGATCTTCGATGTGTAACGCTCGGGTAAAGTCGGCTGGGCTCGACTAATTGAAGTGTTTTTACACATGGATTAAATGATCTCAAAAACTAAAAATCGGACCTACATACTGTAAGCGAGAGAATCGTTCAACATTTCATCCTATCTGCAATGGGCTATTATTCAAAATTGTATCTTAAACCGTCTCCGTGTTAGAGAGCCGAAAAGGAAAAAATAGTATCAAAAACCAAATTATAACGAGTTTTATTGGAGATATGGATTAAAATATATCCCAGAAATTACAAATCGGACCTGCATACTGTAAGCGAGGGGATCGTTCAGCATTTCATTCTCTTTATAATGAGCTATTATTTATAATTTATTAATCTCGCCTTGTCAATGTGTTCACTTCTATCGTGTGGTCTAAACCACACACCTTAGTTTTTTTACTTTCCTACCTATACTAGGTAAGGAAAGTATTGCAATCGGGTCAAATTTCCGACATGCGGTTTTCGACGGATCTATAGGTTTCAGAGCCCCCTGAGTCCGAAAAACACATTTTTAGCCATTGGTCTGTCTGTCTGTCTGTGTCAAGATTTTCTCTGGAGCTACTTAACCGATTTTGTTGCTTCTTTTTTCATTTTGTAGGGTTTTGACTACTGATGCCTGTGACAGAAATTCGTTGATCCATGCGCAATAGCTTGCGCGCAATAAATGAAAAACATGTTTTTCTATAGACTAGCTCAAAAACGGCTCTAACGATTTTGATGAAACTTTCCTATAATGTTCTAATCATCGTTCTTTCAATTTATAAATTAAATTCCCGGAAAAAATCAGGAAAAAAAGTTATGAAGAAAAGAAAAATGTTATGGGGCCTAACTCCCTAAGTATATATTACACAGTAAAATTTACAATAAAACTTTTGAAAGGTAATTAAATTACCAACAAAGCCATATAAAAGTAGTTCATTTTGGACAACTATTAACGAAGATACAGCTTCACAATTTCCAATGTAAGATTAGGGTTTCATATCTTGGTGTCAGCAAGGGGTGAATGAGAGAATAAAAATGACTAAGTCTACATGAAAATCTGTTGAAGAAAATCTGTTGCCCACATCACACAAGCTTCACTATTTCCTCTACTTTTAACAGAAATTATTGTTTGACAATACTAAGCTATGGCAAAAAGTTTTTGATCAACAATATTAGAGAGTATTGAAATATTTACACTGATCTACCTTAAGCGGGTTTACATTGCTTTATTATATCAAATAAATCGTACTCAAATCTTTTCTTTGAACAATTGTAAGGAAAATACAAACCTTTCTGAAATAGGTAGGAAAGTCGTGTGATTGGATACACCAGATATTTTTTAATGTATATATTAGGATAATTACTTCGGAAGAAAGAAAGAAACTAAGTACCTATATGAAATGGTGTTAAACTGATTCTTTAAGTACTATTAAATGTAATTAGACGAACGATAATAATTTTAGAGATATTTTTTTCCATAAAACATGGTTATATTTTACCATTTGGAGGGGAGGAGGGGAGGGGAGGGGGAAGGAGTGAGGAGGGGCTTCAGTCTGGAAGAATCCCCCCGTAGATTCGCTTGTGTGTGTGTGAGCATTCTAGCTCAAAAACAAAAAGTCGTACGAAACTGATAATTCGTATTTAAGATAGATATATACCTGGGATGTTTCAACAACTTTTTCGTTAATATCGGCTAATCGAAAATGCCACTTTATATCAACGGTTATACACATATTTTAAATTATTATTTGAACATCTATTCAAATCAGTTTCTTACTGCTAGGTGTTCTTACTCAGCATAATATCAAGATGGCCATAATTTATAAAATTCTACAAAATTCCAGTAAAAAAATCGTGTGTTGATGTAAATTTTTTATTTTATTTTTGTAATGTATATCATTCACTGCTGTTTTCTTGTGATATGAACGTTCCTCCAAGTTGAAACAACAGAAAAATATGACTCGCTCCGGAAATTCATAACCCTGTTACTATGTACCCTCCGCAAAATGCAAATCAAATTCATGATGGGAAATAATATTTGACTGCAGAAGACATTTTGAGAGAAGTTGGTTGATATTTTAAGCCCATGAAAGAACAAAGTAAAAATAAATGAATAATATTTACTTTGTCTAATATGCCGACTTTTCGGCATAATTTCATGCCATCATCGGGGCTGTTCGTTTAAAGGGCGTTTAATGAAAAGCATTCGTCAATCACACGACATTCGTCCGACATCCGAAACTTTTTCAAGAATACTTAAGTGCACTCTTTTATAATTGACTGTGTTTTTATGTTTTTAATTTACTCATCTTAAGATTATTTTATTTTTTTATTGTACATATTTTTTTTTATTATTATTTAGTTATTATTTTACTTTTGTTAATTTTATATTTTCTGCATATATGGTGTGAATGTGTTCATTTATCACTATAATTATTGTCCACGAGACAGAATATTATATATGTAAATAAATAATAAATAATTTATAATTGAAAGTAATGTGAAGATGGGTTGCCCTTATGTTTTGATTAAATTGCATATCATTGTTTCAGAACAACTGGTACAGTTTTTAAAACATGCTTCTTCACATCTTTTAAAACATAAAACTGAGAAAAATAATTTTAAAAATTATATTTTCTATAATGTAGTATCTATCACACTAAATATTATGATAATATACCATGAAGAATTATATCAATCTTATAGAAAACAGAATTCTACCTCGAGTAAAATTTTTTAAATTTTTTATTCCAAAAATGACACATGTGTCGTATTTAACAATTTTGAGTTGAGAGTGGTTTTGGTATATTGATCATAGACTTATGTTTTAGTGAAAAAAGCAAAACATAAATAATGTAGAGATTGATTATTTACACAATATATTTAGTCCGTGGTACAGACCTCTTTTTATCGAATTATTAATATCCGCCTGAAACTTCATAAATAGTTTTATCTCATCGTAACCTACAACTATTTTATTTACGAAAACTCTTGGAATTGGGGCGTTTTCAATTTGGAGAGGGATAATAATTAGATACTAAAAACTCGTAAATACCCATTTGCTTTCTTCTTGGATCGTAAGATAAATTGATAACAAAATCGATAAAAAAGATGGCCTACAAAAGTATTGGGCCATTTGTTCTGTATAATCTCGTTATTTTGAAATTTTGTGGGTGTAGGTCACGCCAAATGGCGCAATATTTTTGGAGGCCATCTTTTTTCTCGACTTTGTGATCAAATTACCTTACGATCCAAGTATGTGGGGATGAAGGAAATTTATAAATGTGTTCTTTAAGGTTTAGCTAGTTTATGAATGCTATGATTTTTTAAATTCTACTTTAGCTTGCACAGTTTTTAAGAAGAGGAGAGCAAGAAAATATTTTTGGGGAAGAAGGAGGAAGAGTTATGCGCCATCTATTTTGGGTAGGGATGGGCACACCTCAATGAATAATAAAATCCTAGGATATGTTGCTTATCTCTGAATATGAATGAAACTTTAAATAATGGTAATATTTAGGTCGAGATAAAATAGTTACGTACCTATATCTAGCCTTCGCCTTGCCAGCTAGTCGATTTTTCTTAATCGATTATATATTGTATTGATTCATGTATCTTATCCGTTTTTTTATATTTCAAATTATTAGGGGGAGAGCGAAGGGTGAAACCATATTCTCCCACCATCGATATTTTTATTGGGGGGACCCCCTCGTCGAAGGGAAAGTTGCATTATGTGCACTCCAGATATTCTTGTCTTCAATCCCTAGTACGCTTAAGTAATTTAAAAAAAAATTCCAATTTATTTACTTTCGATTTCAATCAAGTGGTGTTTGAATATTATATGGTAACATGTGTGCACGAATATTATGAATCGATTCCGTTAATGGTTTCTTTCCACCATGAAATGTAAATCCGCCATATCTAAACGAAAATTAATACATGGAAAGCACATTATGGATCGCTAAGTATAGATAATATGTTAATTGGCTTATTGAGTCGTGGTAGATTGAGCGGGTCAGTTAGGTAGAGAGTTGAGGTGGGGGGGGCACTTTCTATCGCACCTTCAGTTCTCTCGCGGCTTCCCTCCAGTGCAGCCAACTGTGTGTTAGTGCCCATTCGTAATAAATCGATAGTGAAACATCGAAACTGGGCATCGAACCAGTGATGGGCCGGCAGTAGACCGATGGTAAATAGATATGACAATATATTGAGATTTATTTATTTGTATTATAAATATAATTAGCGGATACAGGAGGCCCTGAGCCACTGCCACATTCCACACAACAGTTGCTTTCACTTTCCGAAGACAAGTTCAAATGCCTTGCACTCTCTTTGTTGTTCGTTTCGAATCCATTATTCACGAACGACCTAAACCTCAGCCATTTTAATGATATCCTTTTGTAGCTGTAATTACACCTAACCTTGTACTTCATCTTACTCGACAATAAGCATGTTAATAAGGGACTTTCTTTTCTTTTTTACAATTTATTATTATTGCAATCAGTTCAGAGCAATACGAAAAGATAAAACTTAAAAAATAGTACAATCAAAATTTAATAGTTATAAAAAATATTTCCACAAGTCATTTTCAAAATATATGTATCAACTGGGTATTGAGTATTAGATTGTCTTGCTAAAATGTAATGTGAAAAATTAAACTTCTGCAATGTCTTCTAGAACTATCCTAGAATTTGTCTATTATATTGAATAATCATGGATTTTTGTCATTTTCAATCTATAATATATATATATATATATATATATATATATATATATATATAGGCTTAATTTTACTGATTCTGGGACATTCATGAGTTATAGAGGTTTATCAAATTATTAGCACTGCATAAAACTTCGTAAATAGCTTCATCTTATCGTAACATACAACTTTTTTATTTACGATGATTTCTAATTGAACCGTAATATAATATCATCACAAAATCGAAAACAAAAAGTCGATACAAATATTGGGCAGTTGGCCCATATAACCTCGTTATTTTGACATTTTGTTGGTGGAGGTCGCACCAAACGATCCAATATTTTGTTATCTTACGATTTATGTGGAAAGAAAATGGGTCTTTATGAGTTTTTAGTACCTAATTAAATAGGCATTTTCCGATCTCCAGATAGAAAACGTCCCAATTCCTAGAGTTTTCGTAAATAAAAAAAGTCGTAGTTTACGATGAGATGAAGCTTTTCACGAATTTTAAGGTGGATGTTAATAATTTGATAAAAAGGGTCTGTACCACGGACTATTAATATTGCATTGGTCTCTCATAAATCTATATTTACGTAAACAAAAAAAAAAAATGAAAAGAAAAAGAAATAGACGAAAATATTCTCTTAATATGAAAACTAAATAAGGAATCATAGATTGAAACTTTTGATATATAAACCATCGTGGCACTCATGAAGATTATTAAAATCCGCCTGAAACTTCGTAAATAGCTTTATCTTATCGATACCTAAAAATATATTATTTTGGGAAAATTCTCAGAAATGGAGTATTTTCAATCTGGAAATCGGCAAACTTTGTCTATTTAATTAGGTCCTAAAAACTCATAAATACCCATTTGCTTTCCAATTTAATCGTAAGATAACTTGAGCACAAAGTCTAGAAAAAAGGTGGCCTTAAAAAAGATTGTGCCGTTTGGCGTGACGTCCACCTCCAAAATGTCAAAATAACGAGGTTATATGGGCCGAACCGCCCAATATTATTGTAGATAATTTTTTTTTGTTTTATGATATTATTTTACGATTTAAGTGGAATGCAAATGGGTATTCGTGAGTTTTTAGTGCCTAATTAAATAGACAAAGTTTGCTGATCTCCAGATTGAAAACGCCCCAATTCTTAGAGTTTTTGTAAATAAAATATTTGTAGAGGTCTGGACCACGGACTATAAACAATCAACCCTGGTGTCTTTTTAAATTGGATGAATATTGTTATAACATCCATGACGTTCATGAGGTCACCTTTTCCTATTTAATTAAATAATACTAGATGCCTAATGAGCAAAATCTGTTTGTATATTGTATGTTGAGGGTCTTATAGAATATGTGATGTTTATAGTCATTATATACTACGTTTGTATTTATAGTCATTTTAAACTTACAAAAAAGAACCAAAAGATTTATCAAATTTTCGATTAATTTGACTTGTGATCTACGATTTTTTTTAACAATGGGACATCGAACGTACGATTTTGGTTTATAATTGAAAATAATAAACCATTGTAACAAAAAATTCATAAACTTAACCCCTCTAAAAATTTGAGGTTTTACGTTTCAGGATACGCAGAATTCGAAAAACGAATAAAATTTTGTTTGCCCGTCCTCCGTCCACCGTCCGCACATTTCCGAAACTACTGGACCGATTTTTTTCAAATTTGGATTTAAAATTAGAGGTCACCTGAGGATGATCCTCCTTCATTGACATTATTATCCACCTTTTCCTTTCAAGTTGGCGACCGAAAAACCTGCGTTGCTATAGACGGTAGCGCCTAAACGAATGTACCGATTTTATGAAACTTGGCTAAAGTATTCTTCTCGATGCTCTTTAAATTTATCTATATAACATACTTCAACAAAAATAAGCTGGGAAAAAATTATGTGGTATGGTAAAATTAGATTCCGAATAACCAAAAAAGTATAATTTTTTGTTATTTAAAAGTTTACAAAATTTCCTAAAAAACAAAAATAAAATCGTTAAAATTGGACATTTAGGAGCAAAGATATGTTCTATAGATATTTTTTATATGTTATACTGCAAAGGTTATATCCTTTGTTTTGGTTTGTCATTTTTGGATGTGTTACTGAAGTAATGCTATTATTTTTTTTAGCAAATTACTGTTGATTAAACAAAAAATGTTTATTGCAATAATTGGAATCACCTTTTATTTCTTTTTGCTTGTTACTAGAAAGGTAATGTTACTTTAGATGTATAATTATTTGGAAATAATAAACCATTGTGAAATAATTTGCAGCGTTTTCTTTCTTTTTTTTTTTTGATGGCCTATTAACTTTACTAATGTCAGGTTATATTCATTTAAAAGTTTTTAAATTTTTAATATAACTCGAGAAATGATATGAGCTGATGATTCAGGACAAAAAAAATTAAGCCATGAATCAAACTAAATAATTTTATAACTAAATAAGAAAATAATTTTTCTTAGAGTTATTTACATTTCTCTCGATTCTGATAAAACTCCACATACCTCAAGTTTCTTTTAAAAAAGTTGGTCTGTTTAGAATAACGAAAGGTTCTTGAAAATAATATATTAAATGTATTTCTAATGTTAATCAAGCGATACCTCGAAAACTATTGCTTAGAATTTTATCACACCTTAGAACTGTTATGAGAATTTTAAATATGACAGGAAAATAATCAACTCATAAATATTTCATTTCCTGATGCTGCATATCTTTAAAACATGCTGTGATGATATTCGTTATGAACTCCTTTGAATATTCTTTTTTTTTTAAATATTTTTTTTTTATATTTGCAGCTTGATTTGGACTGCAGTATAATAATAATGGTGGATGTATGAATAATAAAGTAATTTTGATCTTCCGTTTTTAACTTTTCCGCAATTAGCTATCTTCAGATATCCCCCCTCCCCCCCCAAAAAAATATATAAAAAGAATATATATATATATATTTGTTTAAATTAACCTTTATATTATATTTACCATCTTTTTCAGTCATTATTATATTTAAATCACATTTATAATAAACAAAAATTATCTTAGTTGTGTCACTTTTATTTTTCAAAGACTTTTTAAAACCACGATTAATAAAAATTAACTAACCTTATCGTTAAGAAGCCTTCGAAATATCCAAAACAAATGCATGATAATAATTTACATTGAATATTTCAAACTTTTTTTAAAAACTATTTATTAACAATTAGTTGCAATTTTATGGTCTTTTAATTAAATAAAAATACTGAGGAAGAAGATGGCCAAGTCATAAAAAAAACTTAATAGTGAAAAACCTATTTATTTATAAAATAGTTATTTATAAAAATGATTAAACCAAGAGATTTTTGTTGATATATAAATTTCATTTTATTTATAAATAATAAATAAGCTCATGATTGAATCGGATAATGACTGGAAAACCCGTTGTTAATGTGTAATAAAAGATTAATGTAAACCAATAAATATGTTTTTAGAGGTTGCTCATTTAAATGAATATGACTTATTCAATGTTCATCCCGAAACATTCAAAGGCATATTATTTGAAATCAGATAAATTCTTATTATTACATAACTTATAAAGTTATAGTAAATTAAAAAATTATTATTTAAAACTATTATTCATATTTATTAGAGTCCCAATCAACATACCTTTAAAAAATAAAGATATTATTTACTCATCAATAATTTTTTAATAATACGAAGGATTGTATCACGAATATTATTAAATGTTTTAAAGATATTCATTAACAGAAAAATAAATTAATGAAGCAATCAATAATTAATTTTGATTTATACATCATTCATTATCTATTATCCATTGTAATCGACCAAGAAAAAAAAAAAAAAAGTTACTTCCTCCTCAAATTTTTTTATTAATTATAAATATATGTATATAGATCTGTATGTGTTCTTTTTTTATGTTATTTTATTCTTATTTATTATATATATATTATTTTTCTGTATAATTTATTTTTATTTATTGTACATAACGTGTGAATGTGATCTCTGACCATTATAAATGTCGTTTGAGACAAATTGTAGTATTTCTCAATAAACGAGTTCGAAAAAAAAACTATAAATTATAAATTCCGAATTATAAATAATGCAATAGAAAAATAATGTAAATAATTTTTCTTAATTTTAAATATCTAATAATTGTTCTGAAGTGTGACAATAAGTCAAAATAATATTTTTAGAGGTATCCCTTCATTAACATTAAAATCGTTAGTTTAGCAATTACATTAATATTATCATTCTTAATATTTTTTAAGAACATTTGAACAATCGTATTATTTATTTTAAGAAATATAAAGAGTATGAAGTTTAATTAGAGTTCCAAGAAACGCTAATAGCTTCAAGAAAAAAAAATTTCGTATATAAATAATTCTTGTATACATTAATTCATGTATTAATCTCTTCGCTGCACCATTAGGTGTCACAATTTCTTGCATCAGGTTAAATAATGAAAAACTTTTCAATGAATGT